TCAGAGCAGCTCAAAGCAGACACTAGCTGTGGGTACAGCAAAGGCCATGGCAAATTCTTGGCTTGATTAACAGCAGGAGTGGGAAGACTGAGTTGTACCACTGACTACATGCAATTTTATTATTTTTTTTTAACTCAGGAATTTGGTACTTTACACACTATGAAGAATAACACGGGAAGAAAAAGAAACAAACACCTAAAGCTATTCCTGAAAGCACATTGTTCAGATAAACATCTTGAAGAGCTGTGCTAGCTGGAGAACACGCACTCATGTCATGCTAATGAAGATACACAAACTTTCCAGTATCTCAGGAATGCAGGTTATCTAGTTTGGCTGCTGAAAACTCTTTTTTCTTGTTTTCAAACAAACCAAGTCTGTGGGAGACCCCACTGCCTGGCACAGGCACTCCTTTCCCTCAGCACAGCCCTGTCTTACAGCCCAGACTTCAGCAGCCCGGTCTGGGGCTGCCCAGACTTCTTGCAGCCCAGTTTCTTGGAGAGCTGACAAGCCACAGCTCCAAAGCCCTTCATCCCACCCTCACCTCACCAGAGGGGCCCTCAGAGCCCAAACTCACCCTCGTGGTGCTCAGGGCTGGATGTACCAACGGTTGGGATGCACCTATAGGGGTGGAACAGCCCAGAATTGGGGCTGGAAAGACACAAAACCTCCATCCCACCGGATCCTTCAGCCAAGCACAGTTTTTTGATGCTCTTGCAAGAATGGGTGACCCACACCCACAGTAAGGTGAAAAACGGTTTATATTCCCTATCCCTGACTCAAGGTTCCCTCCCCTGTTTCCCCACTGGCTGGGTAGTCCAGAGTTTACAGCCCATCTGGTGCTTCTAATTATCCTGTAAGTTTCCCACCCCTGTTTACACATTCCATTCTAGCAGGTTACTTTTTACCTTTTCAGGTATAATCCTGACCTTTCTTGCCCCCTTGGCTGTCTTCCCAATTAACAAAATGATCTGCACCCACTGGTGTCCTCCTGCCCCGAGGAGCAGGACAGAAGGGGCTTTGATGGGTCTGATCTTGGCCATCAATCCTGCTCCACGTTCAGATCCCCCAGATGGAGCCCAAATTATGTTCCCTCAGCTTCTTGGACCCTAAAACCACTCCAAGTGTCCTTGGAATGTGCAGATATCTCACTTGTCTTAAACCAACTATTATATTCCTAACACTAGGGTATAGATATATAAAAAAAAACCAACCCAAACACTCTGCTTCTAACACTAGGATTCAAAAACAACGCTAAATTTCATTTCTGACACAGGAACCACAGGGGCTGCTTCTTGGGAGAGCTGAGAAGCCCCCGATGCCTTTTATCCCACCCTGACCTCCCCAGAGGGGCCCTCGGAGCCCAAACTCACCCCTTGCGGTGCTCGGGGCTGGATGTACCAACGGTTGGGATGCACCTGGGTGGGGGGGTGGAACAGCCCGGAATTGGGGCTGGGAAGACACAAAACCTCCATCATCCCCTCACAAGGAACGAGCCCCTCGAACAACCCCTGGGAAAAGGCGGGAAACGGCGG